TCTGTTATTGTTTGATTTAATTTCCAGTATTAAATGCAGCATGATGTTTGATGTAATTATGTTATGGTCTCGTATGCATGAACTATGGTTCCTTTTATTATGGTTGATATTATGATTAACCCGGTACTGTGTTGTCTTATTTGGTGTCAATTACTGGTTTACATGTTTTGTATGATTGGATGATTGAGATTAAGGAAAAAGGCAAAAAGGTTATGTGAATTGATAAGTGAAAAATATGGACAGCCTGACTAGGTATCCTGGGAAATGGTGGACGGACCGGGTCCGTAGGGAACCCTACCGGGAACGTGGTCTCTCATATCGGACGGGGTATGGAGACCTTATGTGTTTTGGCGCCCATACCGGACAGGGTATGGGGACGACTCATTTCACCCTCATACCGGACGGGGTATTTAGGCTCATGATTTTGGCGCCCATACCGGATGGGGTATGGGGACGGCCCTGGAATTAGGTTGTAAATGTTAATGGTTCACGTGTAGAGGGGACCCCCTATGGATCCCCAGGGATACTAGTAGGCTGGTAAAAGAAGAAATCTGTTTCCTGATTATTGAAATGTAAATGTGTGATATATGTTGTGTTATAAAGTGTATATGATTTCATGATATTGTAAAGTTATTATTTTCAGATGTTGTTTTCATGAATCTTACTGAGGTAAGTGGACAGTAAAAGATTTTATTATTGATAAAAGAACTTGTTATAAATTATGCTCCATTGGTCATTTTGTTTTATGCCCACCTTTACTTCCGTGGGGGTGAGATAGTGTGATGTCTTTACTGGGCTGGTGTAGCTCATTCCTTATTTAACTATTTCAGATCAGGAAGACATTGTTCCCGAGCCCGTTCCGCAGGAAGACGGCGAAGGGAACGCTTAAAGACTCCATAGCTATATTTATAGTTCTTATTTCGAGTATCTCTTTTAGTTAGTTTGTTCTTTCATGTTTTGAGTACGTTTTAGTTATTGTGGAAGGGATGCTAATCAAAATTTTTATTACGCTTCCGCATTCGACATTTTTAATACATATATATTTCATTTAAATTTCCGGGGCCGTTACATATTTGATTATTTTTCATGAAAATTATGGTGGACACAAAGCAAAAAAGCAACATAGAAAAAAGTTAAAAGGTATTATTAGTAAGGGTATAATCGACATTTCATGCCAAAAATTAAAAGGCATGATTAAAATTTATAAAAGAAAAAATAAATAAAGGAAATTTAACTAAAAAATGGGGAACACATAATTAAAATATTTTCCATAAAGCTAGAAATAAAATAAAAATTTATTTATTTTAATTAAGAATTTCACTAAAATTCACGCAATATTATTTTAGTGTAATAAAAGAAACGAATTACTTTATAAAAGAGAATATTCTGCCTTTATTCTTATCCGGAAGGATGGGAGGTTCAAACAAACGGCGTCAAACGTGGGAAAGTCAATGGTTTACTCGACGGACTGAGACGGTACCGTTTGGTACAGTTTCGCGTACTCGGGGTAGGTGCGGACAAACGAACGCCGTCACGAGGTGTTAACTGTTAAATTAAGAGATCAACAACCCCTGTCCCTCTCCGTCCGTCCGTCCCTCCCTCCCTCCCCCTCTCTATAAATTGAAGTTTTCCCATTCCCAGCTAAAAACCAAATCATACCTGCCAGTTTTCTCTTTCTCTGTATCTGTGCAAGAGGAATCTCTTTTGTATGGCCGCCAACCTCAAGAGTCTTCCCGGGATCGGCAGCTTGGGGAAGCGAGTTGTCAACCAGATCTGGACCGCTAACTCGCCCGATTCCACTCATTTCTTCACGCTCTCTGCCATCACTTCTTTCACCATAAGGTATCTATCTCATCTTTCTTTACTTTCCTCCTAACATATGATATCTGATAGTTTCTTTAGCTACGCTTTCACTTCACGCAACTGGAGTCTGGCTCATCACTAATTTCTTTCTTGTTAAGTTTACTTCGATCTTCCCTCTTTTGCGTTCAGTAAAGTATGAGCTGATTATCTTTGAAATTTTGATTAGATCGTGTTCTTGTTGAGGAAAATTCATGAGCTGATAACTCTGCCATTTTAGGATTTCTCACTTTTTTTTGTCCGTGTTCAGTGAACTTGTCTATACTCAATAATAGTTTTGTCTGCTTGGTTGATTAAAGAATAAGAAAGAGGATACGTATCTGATTTTCTAATATAAAATGTCGCTTATGCTTTAACAATATTTTTCAATCTTAGATTTATTTTAACAAATGTAATTTTGAAATCTTTATTTCTTTATCTATTTTTTTTCGCATTTTTGTAAAAAATAAAAAGAATACACCGACCTGCCGACCATCTCTACGAAACTTATATGCAAAGTAATTTCAGAAACCTTTCGAAAAGGACGGTTTTATGTAAAAGATGATAAGAGTGTCGTGAAATTCTAACAGTTTGTTTGTTGGACAGAACGAGAGCTGAATAATCATATCGTTTAATACCTACTATGTCAGTAATAGCGAGCCATTACATTTTCTAATTCATGGAATAGATATATTTTTCTTAAATTATTGGGAATTCTTTAAAAGGAGTAATGTTTGTTTGGTGTGGTAGATATATAGGAAACGATAAAGGGATATTAGTTCTTCTTACTCTACTCTGCCGATATTGTCTTATTCGTTCTGTGGTAAATAAGGTTAACTTTTTGTTGATAAGTTAAGTTCTAATCAAGCGTCGATAAGTTAAGTTTTATTTTTCAATTGATTTTACTAATTCCTAATCTTCATCGATACCATCGGCCATGTTTATTTGCAACTATTGCTGGTTGTCCTCAATTTTTGTCATCCATGCGGTTATTGCCTGACTGCCGTTGAAGCCAGTTTGCTGGTGATGCTTACCAGCGATAATGGCATGAGTCCCCATTTAGGGATAGGCTGAATCATGATGGGGAAGTTTTTACTTTTAACTTTTACTGCAAGATCCAAAAGCTATTTGCTGTTGCGTTAAAAGGTATCAGAATGTTTGAGAGATTTTTTTGACTCTAGAGAAGATTAAAGAAAGTTGATGAGGATTAATTAATTTTAATCCTCAATTACCTACCTTCCAAATTGGGGTCTAGAATAGTTTCATTATTCTTTGTTCATTTACTGTTATTTAACTACCTATTTTATCATCAGTTATAACATATATATATATATATATACATATTTTTTGGATATCTAATAACGTTTATATCATATTTCGCATATTTCTACTTTATAATTTTTTTTTCAGTTTGCCTTTACATTTTAGATAGTAAGTAACTCTCAAGCCAGGATATGTGATAATCGTTTTACTCTATTTAGATTTTTACTTTCAAAGTTTCCATTTTATATTCTATTATAAACTCCTCCATATTTTTATCTCAAAAAAAAAAAATTATATGATAAACTCCTTAACATAAGCCCATGTTTGGTAGCTGAATAAGATGGGTAGTTTATTTCAAAATTTAATTTATGAGCAAATGACTGTTTTAGTCGTTGAACACTTGAACTACTTTTTATATTACAACTAGGTCCTAAATTTTTTTTATTACAACTTAAGAAGATTATATCCTCAACTCATAATTAAGAAAGATACAGAATAAAAAGTAATAATTGAAATAAAAATATTATTTAATATTTATCTTTCTGATGTGTATGAAATAAAAATAAATAAATGTTAAGCAAAATATATATTGGCAATTTTAAAAATACAATTATCTTTCTTTTGGTCATTTTAACATAATTAATTGCTTATAAGCTATATTTTTTACTGAATACATAAACAAACTAATACAGTTTGTAAGTCAAACACTTAAATGACTTCATAAAAAGATTGCATCAATTTTCTAGGCTCTAAAAGAGTTTATATTTATAAGTTGTACAGTTTATAAATTATTATATAATAACTAAAGCTAAACATTCCCTAATGACAACTCTATATCACCTCATTAATTTATATTTTTATATAAAATAATTTCTCGTAAGTTTATACTGAATTTGGTTGTTAGAATATTGATGATGCCTAAAATAGTAATGTAATACAAAAAAGTATACACCTCATTGGTTGTGAAGGAGAATAGAGTACCTATAGCAAACTCTATAAATACATATATATATATATATTAAAGATGGGGTTTGAATTGGAAAGAAAAGGGAAGATTTTGAAAATGTCTTCTATCCTTTTCCTTTTGAAAGTATGTCGTTTATCCTAAGATGTACGATAAGAGGTAAGGTGTATGATAAACGACATCTTTTTCATTCAAAAGTATGTATTTATATATAGCAAACCCCATTGTATCTCTCTTGAATATAAATGAGTAGTATTGTATGATAAATGTATCAGTATTTTAGAAGTGTCTTTTATTTTTTTTTTCCTTTAGAAAGTATGTATTTATTATTAAGAGATAAGGTGTTAGTCACTTACCAAAAGATCTTCAGTCCTCTTAAAAGGGTTATTCTGGTAATCGGCATCAGATTCTATATGTATATATTTTTTTCTGTCCTTTGCTTTTACTGCCCCTTTATTCTCCATGTCTGTTGACTTTTCTCTTGTACCTATATGCTTAAACATTAAAAGGGAATATTTGGGAATAAGGTGATTCCAGTATTATGGACTTAATTTTTTTTGTGTTTAACTTTTCTCTCTTTCTATACCCTATTCTATTGATCGTTCGGATATTTTCTTTAACTAAATTTCAGTATTACTTTCGGAGTTGTAATGGTGCATATTCCATTGTTAACGAGTATTGTTTGAGGATTAATTTGACTCATAATAAAATAGTTTCTTGATCACAGCAAAACTAGTATCGTAACAGGATTGTTTGTAATTTAGCCTCTCTTAACTAAAATTGTTTAGAATTTTTCTCCGTCTCCGTACTCATTTCACTTGCAGCATCGATATTTCTGGAAACTGCGGAATGTTTTTGTTAAGCTTGATATTGTGAATAATTAGGGGCATTAATAAATGGGTTATGTGCAGCAGGAGTGCACACTCGTCTGTTTATGATAAGAACCTGGATGATCAGGTGCACTCAAGTGTGGTACCTGACGATGTGATACCACCTCAATCTGACAAATACTGGGCCCCAGATCCACAGACTGGAGTGTTTGGACCTGCCTCTGATCACAAAGCAGCTGCAGCCAATTCCTCCTCTGCCAAAGGCAGTCAGGGGTCAGTGTTGGAGGAGAAGGCTTGGTTCCGCCCCACTAGTCTTGAAGACACTGAGAAACCTCATTCTCACTGATTGCAGTCTTACCGAAGTAAGCCTGTACATATATCTACATATATGAATAAATATATGTATCCTGTAAAAATAAGAACGCCATAGACAGGGTGGGACTCCGATGCAAACTTTCGTAACTGGTTGCATGGTAATATTGTGTGTTTGCTATGAAATATTTGGTTGCTAATATGGAATTGCTATCGTGGCTATGATAGATGGTATGTGTGTTCTTATACCCCTCCAAAACATTTACTGATATATATATATATATATATGTTGTGACGAACAGTCACCCCGTGGGCAACAATGTTCGCTACAGAATAATAGAAAGTGCAATTAAAGTAAATACGGAATAAATTCATTCCTTACAAATATAGTAGTGTCTGCTGAGGCACCAATTGATCTAGTTAATCCTATAAAATACAGAACACTAGCCTCATAAATCAAGACACTTTCATTATGGTCAATTTTTATTGATCTTGAAACGGATTCAACGAGCTTCTGGGACTAAACTTGTTTCATTATCATTTGGTAGAGGAATGGATTGGGATGAGTTTTATAAAACTCAATAAGGAAAGCAATATTAAATTTATGCAAATGATGGTTTAAAAATTATTAATGCAATCAGTGAAAATATAGGAATCATCATTTTAAAATAGCAATATACCTATCAACGAAGGGTAGAAGGAATCCCCAACTATCATTATGAATGGGAAATAAATCCCCAACTATCATTATAAATGGGAAATCAATCAATCAGAATTCAGTAACAGAACAATAACAAAAATCTATGAGTACAACAATACTTCGCCATAGTGACCTTAACAGTTCAATCACAAACTAAATTCCTATCAAAGTCAAAGTGGGATATCAGTATAGTGTCAAGTTCATAAGGTATAATTCACCAGCGGTCAATAAACAATAGGAGTACAATACCCCTCCATGATAACAGGTAAATGAATTTACAGACTCTTTGTTGATTAAGTTTTATCGACTAACACTTCAATTTACTCTAAAATTTATCTTAAGAGTCTATCTCAAAACCTATTACCCATTATTTGTCCAATAATCCCTAAAATTTCTCTTAAGTGTATTATTCCGTCACATACAAAATTTTTATTTATTTATTTATTTTTCTTTTTACCCTTTATTCATATAATAGTTATTTAGCCAATTTATTTATCTGATTTCATTCCAATTAATTAAAACCCTTTAACTTGGCCCAATTTAGGGCCCATTTACACTCGGAGGATTGCTGGGGTGCAAAACCCACGCATGGGGGACTTTCCTCGTGGGCTCACACAGCACAGTGGTGCCAGCCCGCGCAGCCCTCTTGACACATGGTGTTTGGCAAAGCCACACAACACAGGTGCGTGTTGTATGTTGTAGCTTGTCAAGGGGATGTTGTCTCAGTACTTCGAGCATGCTCAGACAGGCCCCATGCGCGCATACGCGCATCCACTCGTGCGACACGAGAGTGTCAGATCGGGTCCTCTCGACGCACAAGGGGCGCCTAGTAGAACCCTCACGCCTACACATACACAGTGTATTATGGGATTCTGTCCTGACACTTTGGGCGTGCCCAGACAGATCCCTATGAGTGTATGTGCGGATCCACTCCGTGCTCTCTCGGCGCGCATGTGCACCTAGCAGAGCCCGCACGTCTTTGTGCAGCGTGCCAGGGGACTCTGTCCTGGTGCTAATGGGCGCATGGACAAGGACTCACGCACACGAATCACACGGCAGAGTTGTGTCCTGTCTCTTTTCCTGGCGT